GTGGCAGAACAAGAGCCAGGCTGTCCAGGCCACTCCATCACAGGGGAGGGCACAGCAGCCCTAGCTGTTCTCAGGGTGCCTGGAGGTGGCCTGTCCTAACGAGGAGGGACACATTAAGCATGAAAATTCAGCAGATTGGTGCTCCAAGACCTTGCAACAGAGAAATTCTGCCAAATAGCTGTTATTTCACATGCACAGCCTGCCATCATCTGGCTTAACTCTGCTAGGAGGCTCTCAGATACCAGTTTGAGCCAGGTATCCTCAAGATGGCCATTGAGCTCGAGGTGTCAGCCCACTGACTTGAGGCCACTGGCTCCCAGCCCCAGGCTCTGGGAGGAGCAGGAGGACAGCCCTTGTTTCACAATATCACACTCTCTCTGCACGCATCAGCTCCTGGCAGGAGCACTCTGGGAGCCATTACCCAGCAGTTATTAAATGCATCTTTTATCACATTAACTGTTTCCCTCTGACATCCAACAGTGCTTGGCCAGCTGCCAGCACCTCCTTTCTACTTTTAACAGCTCTACAGCAATCCCCAGTACTCCAGGCTAGTTTCTCCAGGCCCAGCTCTGCCCTTGGCTTGCCCTGGGGCGAACAAACTGTTTGCATTATTATACAACTCACTTCCACGTGTAAGTGTAAAACAAAACACCTTGCAGACATCTCTCCAGCCACGGGATGCTCAACTGCTCTCCAAAGGCCAGGGCACAGTGGGGCCGTTGTGAAGAAGCTTCTGTGACAGGAATTATTTCCTTTCCCAGTGGGTGCAGGACTGGCCCACCTGGCTGAGGTTTATGTACCTCAGAGGAGGGGGTGCATGTGCAGAGCTGCCCCGTGTGAATCTGCCATGTCCTGTGTGCTGCTTGGGGGCTCACTGCTGTCCCGCAGGCAAGGCATGAGCTCCTGGGAGCAGGGGAAGTGGTGGCAGCTTCTTGCCCCATCACTGCCAGCTCATGTCTCTGGCATTGCGACAGAGCTGGCCACAGCTTTGTTGCTGTTCTGAGAACTTGTAGGACAGGAAGGCCTAAAGGGCTGGGCATGAAGACATCACCATGCCTACATTTCTGTCTGGTGTATGGAGAGCCCCTTCAGCCTTCTGGGGTAACCCATATCCCTCCAGGAGCTCCTACCATCACACAACCTTGCAGAATTCATTGCACTTCTATTTCCAGGTATTCCTGCACTGCTTGTGCCATCACCAGCTCTGAGAGCTGACAGAGAAGAGGAAAAGCATCACTGGCACCTCCACAAAAGCCCATCAGCACTGCACACGGGTATTCCCTGAGAACATGGGCCCACCTCAGCCACTCAGTCCCTCTGCCACCCGCCTGGAGGCAGATTGTTCACACCAGGCATGCTCAGACCTCTGACATGAAGTCACTGCAATTAGCCAGGTGAGGTTTTATTTTGCTGCCGTGGGTGTGTAGCTGCCTTTCCCAGGACATGAAGAAAGGCAGGTGACACCGCAGCCAGGGCAGCTGGCTCTGAGCCAGGCAGGCTGCTCCCCCAGGGCCTGCCGTGCCTGAGAAAGAGCTCGTTCCAGCTTGTCCCACAGCCCCTTTTAGCCTGGCAGGCTGGGGCTTGGCTTGTGGGGCTGCCTGTGTCCCGGGAGTGCCTCCCGCTCCTGCCCTGTGATTCAGGGCTTAGGACTGTAGCGAGGTCTGGAATTAGCTTCATTGTTTCTGTGCCGGGGCACACGCTCTGGGCAATGCAGCACGCCTTGCACAATTGACTTCATTATATCTGAACCAGCAATTATGCTGCTGCTGCTCAGCTGCAGCAGAAAACTTCTGTCAGATCACTACTGTGCCCTACATCCCAGCAGGTCTCTAGGAGTAAATGCCATGTGTGGGTTGCTGAAGATGTTCAGTGAGGCCTTTATTGAGTCTCTTCTTGGTCTTCTGATTCTCCCCCTTCTTTCCTTGCAGCCTGTGATATCTAGCCTACCTTCTTTCTCATCTCTGGATCAGCTCTACCTACTCCAGATGAGGGAGGAGGTACTCAGAGGGCCCTCTGTGACCTAGACAAGGCATGTATATCTTAAGGAATGGCAGAGGGAACATCTTCTGCCCATCTCCATGCTGTGCTAGAATTTTTCAGGGTGGCAAAGTACGTCCCAAGTGCTGCCATAGTAGAATCTCAGCAGCACTGGGACATATGATGCTGGGCCATCAGCAGGAGCCAGCTGTGCTTTAGGGACCCTGCACAATGCTCAGTGGGACTCTGCTGAAGCAGTTGGCGTCACAAGGGCCTTGCTGGAACTCACATCTGCAACATGCAGTCGAGCTCCACGCTTTCAACAGACTTGTTGGTTGCACCAGCCAACCTTGTCTGGCCTGTGCCACAGCTGGAGAGCAAACTGCACAGGGCACTGATCGGCTGCAGGTACATCCTGGCTTCTCCACCTCCCCACCTGCTAAGAGGATTAAGGGCAGAGCAAGGACAGAGTGAGGGGTAAGCAGGGCAAGCACGGATACAACCTCTTTGGGAAGCTCCTGGCTGAGATTAGAGACACAGACAGGAGCCCTGCTCCCGAAGCACCTCTCACCATCCGGTCTTTGCTTTAAAGTGGGGGGCACAGTGGGCTTCCTTGCCAAACCCACAGCACAGCTGTGCTCTGTTCTACCTTCCCAAGAAGGACATGTCCCCAAACCGCCCCTGACACTGTTTGCTCTGCCTGGAGCAGGCAGGGTGGAACTGAGGTCTTAAAACTGGAACAATAGTTTGGGCTTTCCTCAGCAAGGAGAGCAGGGAACTGGGGTGTGGATGGGAGGTACTCAGGCTGGGCTCTGAACTCATCTCCTCCCCAGTTTCAGCTCTGGGTGCTTTAGGTGTGGCAGTCTTTAACATACTTCTGGAAGACAGCTATAGAGAGAGAGGCTTTGTTTGGGTAACTGCAAGCTCTGCTCAGAGATGTTCTTGCACCAGCCGGTACCTGCCAAGAGCTGGCTGGTTTCTGACAGTGGCAAGCAGGGCTCTTCCCCTGCAGCAGGCAGGGCTCTGCCCCTCAGGTATCTTCAGTGTTTTTCCCATCCTTCACTAAAGAGATGGTTGACTTCTGACTCTTTAGCCTAGAATTCTCCTTGTTTGCTATTTGCATCTCTCTCTGGTTGCTAATGCAGGGTCTAACTATGTTCTGAGCATCGATGAAAATGTTTCCTGAGCAATTCTTGTAATCGTGTGACTTCTGATGTTGTCTGAAAACATTTGCAAGGCTTTCTTAGATGTGTGGGTAACATCCCTGCAAGAGAGGGGTTGCCTCAGGACAAATCCAGCCAGAGTGAGCTCAGCCTCTGCTGTGTGCTTTCAGGCTGCTGCTACCAGCATCTGGCAGGCTGCTGAGCAGTTAGGCACTGACAAGATGCAGCTGATTGGTGCTCCCTGGATTTAGCCAGATGTTCTTAAGCATTTCAAAAAAGCTTAGACATCTGTTTGGGCATTTCAGATCAGAGGCACGTGGGGATGCGCAGCTCCCAATGACTCACGGCTCTCTTGTCAGTTATTCCCACTCCGATTGCCCAACAAAACAGCCTCTGAGTGGGTATTTTCACTGTGAACACACATTTGCAGCATTGACAAATCAGGGACATTTCACTCTCAACTCTCCACCACCATGGAACATAAACTGATCCATGATTTTGCACCCCTGAGTACCACCAGATCGTTATATGAATCTTCAGAATTTGGGTGAACTGCACAGCCTGACATGCTGCTGGCTGCCTAGCTCTGCTTCCAAGCATGCTGAAGGCATTTGTGCTATAAATGCCCCAGAATTAATTTGCACCGTGGAATTAAGGAGGGTTCCAGGACACACCCAGTGAGAAGTGACTCCCTGGCATCCACTACATGTTACAATGAACACCTTGGTGAAGATTTTCACAGGGAACATGATACCATCACTCCTTTTCACTCCAATTAACTTCTGGGGCTCAAATTTTGATGCCTTAGTGCTACCAATTACTCTCTCACTCTCATGGACTGTCTGCATCAGCATGGTCTGTGTTATCTAGTGATCTCTGAGGTCACTCAAAGGACATTTATACCACAGAGAGGCATTTCCAGAGTTATCCAGTCACCACAGAATCCTCTGCAGGTTCAGCAGCACTTATTACCTGGGGCATTTCTGTGGGGAAAAAAAAAAACACAACACAAAACTCAATATTTTCCCATCAACTTGATTAAACCCACTCTGATCCTCTGGCTCAGCCATTTAATCAGGTCTCAAAAATGTGTTGCTTAGACACCAGCACAGGCTTTGCAGTAGTGCTCTTGCAATCAGTCACTTTTCACATGCTCATCAGTGAAGGTGACACTTTCCAGGTGACTCAGGCACAAAGAAAGGCTATTGTGGGTGGATGATTTAGGTCCAGCTTTCAATTTTCAGATCAAGCTGAGAGATGACAGCACTTTTCAGTGAAAAATCATTAAGTCGGAGTGCTGAGGCAGATGCAGGGCTGGTTCTGCACCACAGTGGATGCTTTGAGTATTTTGGAAGGGGTAGGACACATTATTCTTTGTAGTAAGGCCAGACATCAGTGAAGTCACTGTAGATTCCAATCAAACCCTCCAAGGTCCTCCAAGCTCTCCCTGCACCCTCACTATTAATTTCATAAAGCTTTGAGATCAGATCAAACCAGTGAAGGTAATGCAGAGCCAGGATGGAGAAGCAGCCCTGTGTCAGGCAGGGCTTTCAACACAGCCCTGGGGCACAACTGTGCTTGAGGGGCTTGACACAAAGGACAGGATTGAGTTTTCCTGCTTTTTTTTCAGTGATCTCCAAAGAGGATAGGAAAGTTTGGGCTCGTCTCTGGAGGGTTTCCTCCACCAGGGTTTCTTCCAGAGATTCTCCGGTGTTTTTCAAGAAGCCTTGGATGGCTGCCAGAGACCTGGCTCACTCAAGGATCACATCAGCACCTAAGCCCACCAGGAGGGAGGACCTGGCCAAGCTCTTTGCTGGTTTTCCTGCTTCAGCCCCCAAAGTCTCTCCTGGTTGTGCCTGGATGGTGTCTTTCACCAGCAGGACACCAAGCTGGATGGGGCCCTCTCTGTTCTTCAGCAGAACCCCTCTGCCAAGACTGGCAAGCGCAGCAGGAACAGCACTTATGCCCCACTGCCCTTTCCTCGGGGGGACCCCCGGGAGCCCCACTGAGGGGATGCTGCTCCCCGAATGCCCCACGAGTGCACCCGCCAGGCAGCACAGCCCCATCTATGCAAATCTATGCAAATATGCGCAATGCACGCAAATCTGTGAAAGCGCTCGGGCAGTCTCGGGCGGGGCGGCCCGCCCCGGAGCGCCGGTGCCGCCCCCGGTATAAGGCGGCGGCGGCGGGGCCGTCCCGGAGCGCGGAGCTGCGGCAGTCCGGGGACAGGCGGCTCGTGCGGCAGCGGCGGCATCATGGTGAGTGCCAGCCCCGGCTGCTCCCTCCCCCCGGTCCCGCCGGTGCTCCCCGCAGCGGGCCGGGCTCTCCGCGCCTTCCCGGAGGGCTCTGCCCGGAGCCCAGCAATGCGGGCAGCTGGCCACGGGAGTGCCCGCCGTGCTCCCCTGCCTTTGCCTGGCTTCAGCCTCTTCCTGAGCTGCTCCCTCCCCGGCTCTCAGCAGCCCCCCTTCTTCAGGCATCCCCTTGTACCCGTGGCAAGGAGGCCACCAGCGAGTCCCCCGGCTGCGGGGACGCCACGTCTCATCCCTCTGCCACTTTGAGTAGTGTCGGTTCCTGCCCGTGTCCCGCGGTGCCATCCCCGGTGCGGGGAGTCTGCCAGCCCCCCACGCTGCCGGCCCACAGCTGAGCTCCGGCAGTAAGCTGTGGCTTCCTTCACCCACTGCCTGCTCCAAGGGTGGGCATCACGGTGGGTGGGCTTCCAGGCTGCCCTGCCGCCGTGGTCCTGCGGCCATCTCTGCCTCATGAGCTCTCCAGCTGCCCTGGAGAGCATCCCAGCCCCAAGGTTTCCCGGGCACCCTGCCTGCTGTCCCGCGGAGCTGCACTCCCAGCCCTTCCTGCGCCAGACTTTGCCGTGGAGAAGGCAGAGTCTACTGGCTGGAGAGCAGCAGTGCTGTGTCCTGGTGCTGCTGGGCTCTGCCCAGCCTGGTGTCAGCGCTGGGTCCCACAGAGCCGGTCTGGCTGCTGCTTGTTGTTGGGCTGAAGTGCAGTGAGCAGCATAACCCTCTGCCACCCCCATGCTAAATCACAGGGTCCCTTGCTGGGGAGCAGTCCTCTCTCATCTCCTCTTCCTTGATGTGCTTGCATCTGTGCCAAGTGTTTTCTGTGCCCTTCTGTAGAGGATCTTGGAAGACTTACCTCAGGTCTTAAGTCCTCAGGTCTTACCCTTAGCTTCTTGTGTTACACAACATTTATGGACCTGCTGGGAGGGATAAGTGGGGTATTGCTTTGCAATTGTTGCACCTCAGCTTTGGGAAAGGTGAGGACATGGCCTTCTGCCTCTCACCATGGCTATCAAGGGCTAATTTTTTTGCCATCCTTCACTGTCTCTGCTGGCTCTGAAAGGCAGCACCGAGAGCACTTTAGGTGCAGAGAGCCAGGACATGCTGCATCCTGTGCAACTTTGTGGGACAGCAGCCATTGCCCTGCTCCTGCAAAATGGCTGGTTCCACCAGCTTCCTGCCAGCTGACTCATACTGGGGCACCAGGCTCTGGGAATCCGCCTTGATTTGGATGCTCCTCTGACTCAGTTGTGCCTGATGACACATCCAAATCCCTGGCAACAGCAGGTCTAAGACACTGAATACTTTCATTCTTACCAAAAGAACTGCAGGCTCTGGGGTGCCTCCTCTGAAGGGAGTGAGGTGGTAGAGTCCACCATCACCTGGCTTCTCCTGGGGGACCCTTGAAGCTGTGAGCTAGGAGACCCTCCCACCTCAGCCTTTCTGTTGACTTAAAAAGTGCAGCTAACCCTTCCTCCCCCTCTAGAGCTAATTTAGGGAAGCTGAGCCTCAGAGCATGGCAACCATTCATGTTCGTAAATCCCCCCTCTTGCTGGGCACCCATCCTCAGTGCCCTCAGTTCCCAGTGTCCTGGAGGTGCTCAGCCATCTCAGCCTCCAGCTCTGTTGTTGGAATAGCAACAGGGGCTGTGCCAGATGCTGCAGGGCCTCAGCCCTTATGCCACATGGATGTTTGGGCAATGGAGAAGATGCTCACTGGATGCTATCCAGGGCTGTGGGTGAGGCCAGTCCAGGGGATGGGTGGCCTGATATTCTGGGCTGCTGCAGATGGGTCAGCATCTCCTTGGGCCCCTGAGGTGGTCAGTGCAGTGATGCGAGGCAGAGCACTAGATGTGGGAGAAAGCAGAAAACTGAAATGGACACAGGCGCCCAGACACGAGGGCAGCGTGGCTTGCCCCAGTGCTTCCAGGGCTGTGCACTTCCTGCAGTGATTGCATTTCTGACCCTGCCTCCCCTCCGCAGCGCGAGTGCATCTCCGTGCACGTCGGCCAGGCCGGCGTCCAGATGGGCAACACGTGCTGGGAGCTGTACTGCCTGGAGCACGGCATCCAGCCCGACGGGCAGATGCCCAGCGACAAAACCATCGGCGGGGGGGACGACTCCTTCACCACCTTCTTCTGTGAGACTGGGGCTGGCAAGCACGTGCCACGGGCCATCTTCGTGGACCTGGAGCCCACCGTGATTGGTGAGTGCAAACTAACTGGGCTCTGATAGTGGTCATTATTTTGGGCAACAGCCCATTGCAGGACATTCCCAAGAGCGCTCTTGCTACCTTTCCCCAGATCTAGTTAGCGAATCAATTTTGCCACTCTCTCCTAGATGAGATTCGGGGAGGAGTCTACCGGCAGCTCTTCCACCCTGAACAGATGATCACTGGCAAGGAGGATGCTGCCAACAACTATGCACGTGGGCACTACACCATCGGCAAGGAGATCATTGATCAGGTGCTGGACAGGATCCGTAAGCTGGTGAGTGACTGCAGAGAGGGGATGTGTCTCCCTGGACTGGGGTGCAGCATCATTCGGGGTGGGAGCGTGGCGTGAGCTCTGCTGCACCTTGGGAGGAATCTGCAGCTACACAAAAGTCTAAAACTTCCCTCCAGCCAAGTCAGAGCGTGAGGGAATGTTACTTGTCTCTCTCCACAGGCTGACCAGTGCACAGGCCTCCAGGGATTCCTGGTGTTTCGTAGTTTTGGAGGTGGCACTGGCTCTGGATTCACCTCCCTGTTGATGGAGCGACTCTCCGTTGATTATGGCAAGAAGTCCAAGCTGGAATTCTCCATCTACCCAGCACCACAAGTCTCCACTGCTGTGGTAGAGCCCTACAACTCCATTCTCACCACCCACAGTACATTGGAGCACTCGGACTGCGCTTTCATGGTGGACAACGAGGCCATCTACGACATCTGCCGCCGCAACCTGGACATCGAGCGCCCAACCTACACCAACTTGAACAGACTCATCAGCCAGGTTGTGTCTTCCATTACGGCGTCACTACGGTTTGATGGAGCCCTGAATGTGGATCTGACCGAGTTCCAGACCAACCTGGTGCCCTACCCTCGCATTCACTTCCCCCTGGCCACCTATGCTCCTGTGGTTTCTGCTGAGAGGGCTTATCACGAGCAGCTGTCGGTTTCCGAAATCACCAACTCGTGCTTTGAGCCGGCTAACCAGATGGTGAAGTGTGACCCTCGCCATGGCAAGTACATGGCGTGCTGCCTGCTGTACCGCGGGGACGTGGTGCCCAAGGACGTCAACGCCGCCATCGCCACCATCAAGACCAAGCGCAGCATCCAGTTTGTGGACTGGTGTCCCACGGGCTTCAAGGTGGGCATCAACTACCAGCCCCCCACGGTGGTGCCAGGGGGGGACCTGGCCAAGGTGCAGCGCGCCGTCTGCATGCTCAGCAACACCACGGCCATCGCCGAGGCCTGGGCTCGCCTGGACCACAAGTTTGACCTGATGTACGCCAAGCGCGCCTTCGTGCACTGGTACGTGGGCGAGGGCATGGAGGAAGGGGAGTTCTCCGAGGCGCGGGAAGACATGGCCGCTCTGGAGAAGGATTACGAGGAAGTGGGCCTGGACTCCTACGAGGATGAAGATGAGGGTGAGGAGTAGAGAAGCTACAGGCCTAAAAAGGACCATGCTTCCTGCCCCTATTGTCTGCAGAAACCCTTTGCAATAAACCATTTCAGATCTTCCATGTGTCCCAGTATCGCCCCAGCTGTATTGGTTTCTTGCCAGGTCTGGTGTGTGATGAGTGCTTCAGCCCTGCTACTGGTGCTGCTATGCTTCCTCCCAGCTCTTCTCCAGCTGCAGATCTCCCCTTGTGTGAGAGCCCCATAGCAGAGGGATCTGTCCAGGACACATGGCAGGCTCTAGGAAGGTGCTGGAGCACGTCCACCAAAGGGATCTGCAGGAGTGCTGCTGATGTGATAGAATTACCAAACTTAGGCATGGTGTCCTCTGTCTGGGAGTACCTCTGCCCTCAGCCTGCCCTGCTGCGCCAGTGCTCTGCCTTCCCCCTGGGGCATGTGGCCCCACTCCACCCGGCCCAGATCATCTTCTGCATTTGTCCCCATTCTGAGTCCTGTCACTGCCCTGCCTGCTGGTAAGGAATCCCAGCATCAGCTCCTGGCTCCAGCTGCAAACTGGAGATTTCTCTTACCCATTATCCAGTGTGCTGTTTCCAGAGATTAATTTTCCCCGCTTACCACTAATGCTCCAGCTATATCGACCCACGGGGGCTGTCCTCCCCTGCCCTCCTCCTCCCAGCATGCACCCGTGTCAGCTGGAGGGGAGAGTGGGGGCCAGCCCTGGCTGCTGGAGCACAGCCAGGGACTCATCCCTCTGCGCAGGGCTGCTGGCACCGCTCTGCTTGCCCAAGACTGGAGTGCCAGGCTCAGACTGAGTGGTGCCTGCTGCTGCTATGCCAGGGCAGGAGTCACTGCCCCTCAAATCAGGTGCTGCTCTGATCCACTCCTTATGTCTTGTCTGATTGAGGGGAAAGGAGGGAATCTGGTCTGAGTAATTTCATTGCTGACATCTTCCTGTGTCTTCACAGACATGACTGCCACCAGAAGGATGTTGGAGTTGGAATTGTGTCCTATAGCTTTTTCTAGAAGTTATCCTGCACCTCTGACCTGGACAAGGGACCCAGTAGTGTCTCCTGGCCTGCTGCTGAGCAGCAGAGGGCCATCCATCCCCATGGCCAGGGAGGGGTAGCTGTGTGACCCAAGGTCCTGGCATCAAAGACAGAGCCCTCTCCCTGCTCAGGCAGCACTCAAGGCTGATGTCCAGGCATCCTCAGTAGCAGGATCAGCCCTGGCCTTGGCAGGAGTGGCTGCACTGGCCAGGGCTGAAACAGAGCTGCTGCTCTGAATGTAGTCACAAGTTATTAACAGCAAGCAGGCTACAATGACCCTTTTTTGGCAGCCCAGATTTGTCATGCAGATCTGCAGCCTCGCAGGGTTGTGCAGCACTGCCTGTCTGTCCCCACCGGGAGAGAAGGGCAAACCTTGGCTGGAACCTCCCAGAGCATCATTGGCGAAGGGAGGTTTGGGGGACAAACTGGGCTCCTGAATCTGATTCGTGTCTCTATCGTGTGTCTCCTCCTTTCTCCTGATCTAGAGGCCCAGGGGGACTCGGGGTCTTCCCACATCCTTGGGGGAGCTGGTAGCAGAACGGGTTAGGGACTCTTCCACCTGCTCTGCCTCCGGTGCGGGTGGCTCAGCACGGCCCGTCACCCCTGCGG